AATAAAATAAAAAATAAAATTTATTTTAAATAATAAAAAATAAAATAAAATACTGTAAAATGATATATTTACATACTTGATTTGAGCAAGTAGAAAGGCCAAATAAAAATATTATTTTAAAAAAAATTTGAAGCCTAATCACAAGAATGCAAGCGGATACGTGTCAGATATTTTGGAGCGTAGAATCACCAAAAAATGTTTGGCCCAAATCCGTGAACCACCAACCTGGTCGTCCCCTTGTGAGACAGACCGACAGAGGGACAGAAAGAGAGAAAGAGAGAGAGAGAGAGAGAGAGAGAGAGAGAGAGAGAGAGAGAGAGAGAGAGAGAGAGAGTTTTCAAGTTTGAGCACGCTGCTCGTCGTCGAAAACGATTAATGGGCAATAAACGGATGTCGTGAAAACGATGAAGATACACGCTAGAAATTGCTGGAGGAGGAATGGAATGCACTTCGAGAACGTGCTTGGTTGAGTGGTAGACATAAGGCTTATCTGCTTTAATGGATATTACTTACTATGTTCATAAAAAATAGTTAAAATTTATGTTAGTCTTATTCTGTAGTATTACTTTTTCACGTAATAAAATAAGAATCTAACCTTCCTTCCCCTTTGCCTAAAAACATATATATATTCAACAACTTATTCAATCAAGCGTTTTTGTGAAATATGCCAATATATAAAAGATCAAACCCGTCTCTGCGTCTTTCTATTCCAATTAATAGTTACTATTATCCAATTTTTTGTATTTCATAGTAACCACCTTTTGCACATTGATTGATTTATGTAAATGATATTTTTTTAATGTACTGAAGTAAGAAAAAAGAAAAGAAAAAGAGTGGTGAAAGGGAGGGAGAGTGAGGAAGGGAGAGAGAGTGAGAGAGAGAGGGAAAGAGAGAGAGGGAGCGAGAAAGGGTGAAAGGGAGAGAGGAAGAGATTTGAATACAATATAATAGAAATTCTTTTTATGTCTTTTTCTCAAAAAACAACATACATATATGAACTGTACAAAAAGTCCATACATCTTTGAAATATCATCTCAAATATTCTTCTGTCCGAGGAAGTTGGCACGCATAATATTTATAAGAGACATTGAATCGTACATTAAATCAGCTAGAGAGAAAATAATAATAATACAATAAACAAGCATATATATATAAATATAAACAATTTCTCAAAACGTTACAAATAAATTAGTTCAATATATATCTATAACCTATATAACTCATAACAACTATTAATAAATACATAAATATTGTATACAGTACTCAATTTCACATTTACAAAATAAATAGACTTTGAATACCATTAACAATACCCACCCAACATTAACAAGTTATAGATATAGATTCAAACTATATTAATTTAATAATTCAATTCTTGTGTCAATTGATTTCTACGTTTTAATGCATACATATATTACATAATTGTGTCGTTCCTGCCAATTTCGTCCATTTAAATATTCGAGAAATGTATTCCAATATATTTCGAATTCATGTAAAAAAGTTTTTGCGTAGTTCCTGGAACTGGAGAGATACATACAAATTGAAAAACAGTTTTATCTGCTAATATATTGCGACGAGAACACTGTCTCTCTTCACTTCTAGTGTATGAACAATTTAAATTTAAAATTTCTTTCCTAGTTTTCGTTATTATAAACATACCTTCGCGAACTGTCTTTTAAATACGTGTTTTCCCCTGGGTCAGTGTTGATAGCTTTGTAGATTGAATGAAAACGCGTGCGCTCTCTCCTCCAAATGAGGCCCTGTCTGAATTCTAGTTTTAAATCTTCCAGGAAGTTATTTACATATATGCAATTTTTTTGTTGATAAAAATTCATGACACCATCCCATTATTACACATTTGTCAACTAACGAATCGTACCAAAATATTTTTTGTCATTATCTCTTGTATTAATTTCTTCCTAAGAGAGATTTGAACATATATAGCTCAAATCCGCTTATGTACGTACATACAAACATGTGCCCAATTGAGGAGAGAGAAAGTGTGTGTGTGTATGTGTGTGTGTGTGTGTGAGAGAGTGTGGCAAAGATAAAAATAGAGAGAGTGAGAGGAAGAGAGACAAGAGAAAAGAAGAAAAGAAATATAAAGGGAGAGAGAGAGAGAGAGAGAGAGAGAGAGAGAGAGAGAGAGAGATGTTCGATTAGGTTTTAGAACATAATTAATAATTTGTTTCCAGTTCAAATCTTAGTACACTGCCCATCGTCAGATAAGATTAATAGTCGATAATCGAAGGAATCAAAGGATCCATAAAAGGGTTAATAGGTCTTTGTTCGCCGTGTCACTTTTCAAATTGTGATTGATGACCCCGACCTTGATTCAAAATAGTTTTTTTGAAAAGCCTCTTCTGCCTTTTCAATATTGACGACAAATATATGTCAAGCGTTTAATATTTAAAAGCTATAGAAACATCAACAGTCGTGAAATTACTACTTTTAAAAAAAGATTACCGGCCTCAAAGGAAGTTTTTATCTTCGGTCCTAATCGAAAGGTTCCGGTTGTATTGATTTTATATAATAACAGGACTTTACACGGAGTTAATTATATAATTACTTTAATTAGTAATAATTAAAGATCGACACCAATAGTCTAAGCTGAATGGCTGTAGGTAGCGTTTAAGGACCGCGTGTTCTCGCTGGTTTTACCTCTAAACGAATAACAACCCTACGTTCCAATCCTATGTTAGTTATGGTGCCCAAATATGGGGTTCTGCATCTTATACTAAAATCGAAGAAATGTTTAAATTCTTTATCAAAAATATTTACGTCCTCCCTTCATTAGACTCCCACTGCCTCTATGCACTTTCAGACTCAATGTGAAACTGTTCGTGTTCAAAGAATGAATCTATATTTTTGCAAACAAATATTTAAAACAATAGATATGAAAGATGACCTATACCGTAAAATTGTTCAATCCTTAAAAATGTAGGATGTAGCTCAGTTGTCTGGAATCTGATATTTTTTGGGGAATTGCAAACAGCGCTTAACATTCACCGATAAATTTAATGGTGAAAATATGGGGCGTCGGTGTCCACAACTGTTTAGGCTTTGACACGCGCTCATTACTGCAAGGTAAAGGTCCCAGGTTCGAATCCAGCGGCCCTGCATTCCAACTCGATGTACTTACAAATGGGCTTATTTCAAAAACACTGGCACCCCGAGGGTTGATTTAACCTCTTCTGTTGCGACCCTCTTAAAAAACAATAAACAAAAATAAATAATAATAAAATATATATGTAGAATAATAATCCTTTCAGTATTACCAATGTATTTGAAATGCTGATTAAGAATGGATTATCTGGGCGCTTTTTTGGTATTGACAAGGTATTTGATTTTATCCAAATTGCATTTTTTTAAATCAAGTACAATTTTTGGAAACTAAATTAGACTAAACATAGTTAAGTGGTTGATGATGATGAAGAGATGATGGATATGCAGCCTTTCCACTTGTTCTATTTTCCTAGTGCCTTAGTTCAGTGCAGCCGACTCGATCGTTCTCCTAAGATGCACTTGGTCGTTGACTATCTTGCTACAATTTATTTTCTTGGGTTTTCTTGCTATCTCACGTTATTTCTCCATTCAGCGCTTGTTTCGCATCGGAAGGTGATATTAGGTTGTTTCTTCCTCCTCATTGAATAGTAGCTGTGTTCTCAAATGCCAGAGATCGGTATATAATCCTATCAATCCTCAGAGTTTAGCCCTCTTAAACTGTAGTAGAGTTTGCCAGTTTTAGAGAGGTAGTTTTAACATGTTTACTTTGCCTAGCACCTCTTGAGTTTATCCAGATCTCCTTTTATCTTTTCGTTACCCAAAATTCCTTTGCGCCCTGGTACTCAATGCACAGACCAATAGTGGTCTCGGTGCACAGGTAAAGAGGCTTGGTACCCAGGATATCATCAGGTTGTTGTGTCCTGATTTCCTTCCGAATTCTTCATCTCCTTTGAGTCTTTTGAGACTTTATACTATGTTGTAAAGAGTGTTTCCGGGATCCCGTTTCCAGTTTCTAAGAATGTGTGTCTGATTTTATAATTAGTGTCGTGTGCTTGGAGCTTCGGAAATTCATAAAAATTTACATTCTAAGTAATTAAAAACTGAATCTTACAGGGTTGCAATCCGCTTTCCTTGGGTGTAATCAAATTTACAGTTGAAGTAACTGAAAAGTGAATTGTCTCAATACATACGAAAATCAATCTTTGGACAATGAAGACTTTTAGTTCAATTTGATATGTAGGATAACCTAACCTCTGTTCATAGGAAAATCCTGACTAATCGGGTCTATTGCATCTTCATTAATAACGATGATCATCTATCAGATTTAAGTTCAACTAATAATTTTATTTTTGTTTCTCAAAGAGTTTTTTGAAAGCTTTTTTTTAAAGAATCGAATCTCATGTCAAAGTAGGTGGCAGAGTGTGGCAAGAGATTGGCCTATTCTAGTGACTAACACCCGGATCCAATCAATTTTCTTCGAACGTGTGAAGGTTTTTTTTAAAAACACGACTTATCTTTATTATTGACTTTTGATATAAAAGTTCAACTCAAAGGTTTTGTTTTCACCTAAATTGTTTTTTCAGGTGAAAATGTTTGATCATTTTGTTATGTGTTTATTATTTTAATAAATATTTTATGTTAGAATCTATCCTCGTTTGGAATTTTTTTAGAGTACTGATTGAAAAAAGTTAATTCAAGTGAATGTAGGTCGTTAAAATTATTTTGCCATTCAATTATTTGGCTCGGTACTTGTTGAAATCGTTCAAATTATGCAATTTACGTCAATCAGGGAAAGCTTTAATGGGTGGTGTATTTTGTATTGAAAGTAGGCCAGGATTTTACTAATGCCCCCATCCCAGGGTGGAATTGGGACGGAGGCGGATCGATTAAATGCTGTCTGAAACGGGTTGAAAGGGAGTTTGGGGTGGAGAAGAGATGCAAGCGGGAGGAGAAATGGGTCACCGGTCTCTTAAGTGGGAGAGTGAAGAGTGAAGTTACGCCGGCGACCCAGTCCGCTGTGTGTTGTCATGCTGTGAGCATGTCTTTCACTATTTTGATCCTCGCGTTATCCGTCGTGGGTACGTCGTCTTCGGGAGTCAACGTGACCGGGAACCCGACATGGGACGGCCTCTTGTCCAAGTGCTGGAAGAGGGCGAGCTTCACGTGCGTCCAGGACGGCCTCAGGGAGACGATCGAGGACACACTTGAAGGCGACATAGCTATCACCGAGTCGATCAACTTCGTCAAGAACGAAAACAAATACTCGTTCGAGTCAAACGCGGTTTACGATGAAGAGGAAGATTTCGCCGCTTTCGTCAACGCGGTTGAAGACTCGGAGGCCCTCCACGAGAAGCGAAGGCCGAAGCTCATCCTGGAGCCGCGTAGTGTCGACGGCATAACCGATATCTTGTACAACAAAGGTGTACACTATTTGATGACCCATACTCTCGATCTTCAGCTCCCCGAGGCGGGATTCGGTGGTGGGAAAATTAAAATCGAACCTAAGTCCATCGAGGAAGACGGTGGAGTGCTCATCAAAGTCAAATTCGACGATCCTCCGAAACCTGAAGGGAGGATATTTTTAAAGAAAATGAGTAAGTGTTACAAATTATTTTAAAACTACCAATATTTATTGTAATAAATTGTCTCGTCTGTTTAAACCACACATTGATTTAAATAATACAAAAAATTTAAATATTTTAACCATACAACAATAAGAATAACACAAGTACTAGGACAATGACAACATTTTGGTTATGTCAGGCTAAAATAAATTTTAACGCCTGATAAAAAAAGGTTTTACATAATTTTAAATTTACAAATATAAAGCAATCAAAAGAGAAATATGCATTACACATACACCATATTAATTCCTACTATTTCATTTGCTTTGAATTTCAAATAAGCTCATCAGAAATAAATAATTTAACTGGTAAAATGGTTTTTTTCCTTCAAAAGAAATATAACAAACAAAGAAAACAATCGTTGTGTTCTTAGCATTTATAATTGAGAAAATGCAATTTTTATATATTTGCATATAATTGTACTACTAGACAACGGGAATTATTAATATACAGGGTGGAACTTTTTCCTCCAAAAGAAAAAAAATATCGATTTCTTGCTGGGGACTTGTTTTGCGTACAAGAAAGAGATAAACGGATTTTTTACACATATGCATATGCCTTTACAGCCAAAGGGAATTATTAATAAACAGGGAGGAATTTTCCTCCAAAAGAAAAAAAGTGTTTTATAATTGGACTTTTTTTAAAGAGTAAATCAATGTGTTTTTTTTTGCTGTATAAAGAACAGCTCTAACCAACAGGACATAGACATATACACATTAGAATCTGCTAGTTACTCCTTGCGATTTTGTCCTTCAAAGGAAATTTCGAGTTTCTAGTGAGACATTTATAATTGGTTTGCCTTTTTTACAACAAGCTTTTTTTTGTTGTATAACCAACTGCACTATCTTACAGGACATAGTCGTATACATATTAGAACTTGCTAGTTACTCCTTGAGGTTTTTTTCTTAAAAATAAATATAAAAACAACAAAGGATACGTGGAATTCTAAGGTTTTATAAGTGGACTTTAAAAAAAAAGTAAATAAACGCTTTTTTTTGCTGTATAAAGAACAGCTCTAACCAATAGGACATAGACATTAGAATCTGCTAGTTACTCCTTGCGATTTTGTCCTTCAAAGGAAATATAAAAATAACAAAGGAAATTTCGATTTTCTAGTAAGACATTTATAATTGGTTTGCCTTTTTTACAAGCTTGTTTTGCTGTATAACCAACTACTCTATCTTACAGGACATAGTCGTATACATATTAGAACCTGCTTTCTTTGAGCTTTTTTCCTCAAAAGATATATAAAAACAACAAAGGAATCGTGGAATTACTAAGTGTTTATAATTGGACTTTTTTTAAACAGTAAATAAACGTTTTTTTTGCTGTATAATCAACTGCACTATCCAACAGGACTGAGTCAAATACAGATTAGAACCTGCTAGGATCTCTTGGGTTTTACAACAAAACGTTTTTAAATAAAAAAAATTGAATTAAATATAAAAATTACTTGTCTTCCAAGTTTGTTTTGATTTAATAAAATCTATAGATCAAACGCACTGCTAGTGCATTTAATTAAATAATAAAATCAAATACCGCACTACGACCCCCAGCAAAAAAAAATGTCTGGTAGCAAGGAGGCGTGAAAACAAAAGAAAACGAAGTCCACCGGCCTGGGTAGAATCTAATGAAGCGTATAGCGGAAAAACCACTCGCAGCTAATAAATTTATAAACAGAACGGAATTTAAAAAAAACAAACAAACAACAATAACAAAAAGTTTCATTTTATTTAATTTGTGAATACTTAAAAAATTCAGTGAGTTTGTAAGTAGATTTAAATTCTCATTTTGCACTTTTGAAATGCATTATTTCTGAAAATCATACAGAAACTTTCAATAAACATGTCACTTTTTCCCAATAAAAAAAATTGTTGGTAGAGTTTATGTCCTTATGAATGAAAAGCTTGAAAGTTCATTCGGAAAATTTATTTACAATTTCGGTTTTCATTTTCAGTTGTTTTTGTTGATACTGTTCAATGTGCTTGTTGTTTTGCTTATCTTATACATTTTGTTTTGGATTGCCCAGTGAAAGATCTTTTATCTTTCTTCAATCCTTATTGAACTTTATTCGTTCTTTTGTGTCCTGTGATCTTTGGAAGGTGGCTCTGCGTTCATGTGTGCATTAGCAGTATTTATTACCTTTTTGATTAAAAAACAACAATCAAGGCAATGGAAGCTAATAAAGAGCCTGATGCTAGATAGCTGCTCCAACGCGGAGCACAATAGGCTTGATGTACGAGGTGCAAATGACTCTTAAGTATGGTTTAAAAACTCAGCACACAATTCACGTGATAGCTATATCTTTATTTTTGGTAACTCATTTCAGATTCTTTCAATTTTCAGTACATTACAACTACGTTCAATTCGGTAACATGTAACAATGCAAAAAATATACGAAATAAAAGACATGAGTGGAGAAAATACCCATTGGATGTACTCCTATGATAGTAAAAGTAAGCTGTTTAATTAATGGTTGTGTAAATATCACTTTTACTCTCGCTGTGTAGGAGATCTCGAGGCAATCGTTTTTTCAGTCGGCGAGAAGGGTTAGAGGGAATTCGTAAGGATGCGAGGTTTTGGATGTGCTGATTTTCGGTGGTTGGAAAGTTTTTGGGAAATTTTCGATAATGAAAGCGGATTTTATTTTGAACAAATGGAATATTTAAGTGTATATGTGTATTTACGTTCGATTCATAAAATGGAACATCAAGGATTTTTCGTAGGATTAAGGACTGGGCAGTTTGAATGAATTTTTGGCTGAACCCCACACTTCCAGTCCGTTAGTCGATATCGGCTTAACTATGGTGCTGTAATCAGCCTTTGCCTGAAACGTAAATCAAACCGGTTGTCAAGAAGTCGTGCAAGAGTCCTGTATCGTTTCATAGCTCCTTTACGTTTTAGTCGTGCGAATAGGCGTCTTTTCTCACCAAGACTCTAGTAAAGTTTTGAAGGTCTCGAGTGGAAATGGCAGTATCGGAGTTACTAGGAGGAACGCTGTATCAACTACATATATGAGGGTAGTGGTTTGAGGATATGCTGAAATGTCAGCTGTATAAATCAGGTTAGTGTGGAGGCCAGAACGCTGCTGAAAAACCCCAGCAAATATTCTGAGAGGGAATTGTCTTCAATGACTCAGAAAAACCGGCCCGTGAGATAACTGTGCAGTATTTGATAGTAAGTGGAGGGTGCCCTTGAGCATGACAGTAAGCCCTGGTGGATCACATGCTTGGCTTACTTCAAAAAAGGTACAGAACAGAAAGTCAAGAGAGGAGGAGATAATGTCTACCACACATGGCAGGGTTGGATAATGGAACAGCAGTTGCGGAAACCAAATTTTTTATTTTTTTATTTTACGAGGGTTCGCAACTGCAGAGCTTATATCAACCCTCGGGGTGCCGGTGTTTTTGAAAAAAAGCCCATTTGTAAGTACATCGGGTTCGAATGCAGGGCCGCTGGATTCGAACCCAGGACCTTTACCTTACAGTGATGAGCGCCGTGTCAACGCCTAAACCGTTGCGGCCACCGACGCCCCTACAGGAAATCAAATTGATAGTGGGGATTATATTTTGAGAACTTAGGGTCGGAAGATTCTTTTTTATAGCAGCTTTTCTAAAACTTTACCCAAATTAGTAGCAGTCTTACTTGAAGCAGTACAATGTGTTGGTTCTTTTCGTTTAAAGAACATTCATATACATTTTACATGTATATAATTTTAATGGCACTAGCTGTTATGATTAAGTGTTCGATCTTGTGACCGAAACTCCTGACACTCGTCGTCAGTATAAAAAAGTTTTTATAATTTTTTGAAAGGCTAAATTGTTGGAACATGCCGCCCAGATCATAAGATTAGATTATTACAGTTTTAGTTCCACCTTGTTGAGGCTTTCGTCAATATTGTAAAAACATTAAAACACAGGCTTTTTTTGTGTTTTATAGCCCAAACTTTACACCTCACATCATGAAAAGATTAATCAATTGATGACAAACAAAAATTCTAGTTCGTTTTTTTATTTGAAGCTCCTTGTTGCTTGTGAGACAGGAAAGTATATCGACGTTTTCTCCTCTAGACCACAAAATTCCATTGTAATTACAGTTGTCGCAGTTGGAAAACTAGTTTCTAACTATCGCCAAACAAGTTGAAATATACCAATTTCTTATTTCTTGCAACCTGTTTTTTAAGTGAAGTAAGTGTATAAACTGTTATTGGAAATATGTGCATGAATAGATGACATTCTACATTATACATGTTCAAATTGAGGATTGCTTAATCGTTTTATTGTACTTGCTGAATATCTATAAACAAAGTATTCATTTTGGAGAGTGAGGATTTGAAAAACATTTTTAAAGCGAAACCGATCAATTTTCGTCGGAGGACGCTGGATAAAATGAGCCGTCCGCATTCTACTGTCAATTGCTGTGGTCTTCAGTGACATATCTAAAAGGCGCAGCCACACAATGATACAAGTCATGAAGAAAAGTCATTTTTTCTCTCTTTTTTCCTTCTAACCGATGCCAGATCACGTAAAGGGGACGGGAACGCCAGGACGAATCTCCTTTCCTTAACCAGACTTTCCAAAAACTCTTTAACGGTCCGAGCCGAAAGTGAAGATGACAGTCGATAGAAAAATGATATTTAAACGTCCTTATCACAGGAAAAAGGCGATTCGAACGCTTGGAAAATTATTTTTTTCAATATTACAGGGGTCTTGGAAACTTGACGGTACAATTCTTCTGCAAAAAAGGCCGCCTAATCTTTCTCTTTTATATACTTACTAAATCCACTTTTTTGGCATTGGACCTTTATCCATAGCCATGAATGGATTTCGGTAAGTCTAGCTAAATAGTAAGTTTCGACGCAATGACCATGCCCGAAAGTAAGTAAAAAGCCGTTCTTGTCTGTTTGTTCTCGCTTTGAACAAAACGTTAACAATCCATGATTTCGTAGTCAACGATATTCATTTAGATTC